TTAAAAAAAATTTACGTTCTAGCGACTTATGCACATGATTAAATTCAATAAAAATGCTAAATGTCTTAATAATTCTTTTTTTTTTCATCATTCTTAAAAATGAATATTTACGACTTTCTTTTAATTAAAACTAAATTGTGTGCAATAAAGAAAAACATACATTAATAATTATTATATCAATCGTTTTCATTCTTTGATCCTCTTTCGAAGACCAACCAATCCTTTTTATATGGAATATTGAACTTTATGATCTTTGCATCCATTACATTTATGCTTTCATTATAACTAAGTCAACTTTTAAGGAGAAAATACCGGTATTGTACAATAGAACATTAACACGGAAGCTCACATTAAAGAGCATGCCAAAGTCATCGAACAAATAGAAGTTACCATCCCACACTGTCCAGGGTTTGCAGGGAACGCAAAAAATCTATATCAATATTCTCAAGTTTTCAAGAAACTCAAAAGATTTTTTATTTCATTATCATACACCAAAAGTCGTTCTCGTTTATGCTTTTAGGCTGAATCATAGAACGATGCTTTGTAAAGAAATCGAGCTGTATCCTTCATCTGGAATTAAATTTTAGATCAATTTTTCAATACTTGACATATATTTTTTTTTATAGAAAAACGTAGATATTTTTACCACATGGTGATAATTTTACAAATTTTGACTTGACATTAAGAAGGAAGTAGATTGGCGATTGTGTCTGTCGATGTTCAACTTTATTTGACATAGCTTCAGTTAAATGCCCACTCTATGTTTATGTAGAAGATTTGTGGTCATACAAGCTATACAACGAAAAAAAGTCGACAGTCATTGTACATTACTTGTGACAAGTATCATGACCATATAGATGTTTAAATTGTAGTTATTGTAACTGTGGAGGAATTGCCGTTATTGTATGGAATTCTGGTTCGGTTTTAAGCATTTGGAAATATATTTATATTTTTCTTTCCCTTTTTCTTGTATTTTTGTCCTTCTTCAAAATATAAAATATGTAAGATTTTTTTTAATTTTAGAGTATATCAAGTTTTCAAAACTTCTATGTGTAGTATGGTCGTATGGTATCGTTCATGTACTTCATTATGTAATGGTTAATGACGAAATCGCTCGTAAGTTCGATTCCTACAAGTGACATTCTATTTTGAGATGTGTATAGTTGATACGTTTTAAGTTATAATGTAAATTAACTTTAGTTGGCAGTGGATATCTAATCATAATCTACAGTCAGGACAATAGACTGACATAGAAATGGATATGATTCTAAATTAGCGTAATGTGCATTTGAATTTTCGTCCTCCTTGCCTTAAATATTGTGCGTTGAGAATTTTCAATGTAACTTCAATAATTCATTCGATAGTTTGAGGTTTCCAAAAGCATGGGACTAACATTGCTAGTTTTTCAAAATAAACTAATTTATCAATAAAGGGAGATGTAGGAGTAAAAGTCAATAAAAAGTAACTCAACAACAATATAAATTCATACAAAACATCTACGGATCACTTTTGTTATAAAAGAAAAGCGAAAGATACCAAAGGGATATTTACGATTATCACATTTCCTTAAACTCTTACTTCACCAGGGTCAATTCACGCAGACGTATTTGTTATTGAACACGAAGACGTGAAATAATGCTTAAAGGACTAAGGACAAGAAGATTGAAATTAACGAGCAGGGTTCTGCCACAGCAAAAAATGGTAGAATATTCTTTCGTCCAGAACTTCAACTGTCATTACAAAAGAAAATATAGGATATATTGAAGCTTTGTTGTGATATATTAGAAATATTATGTTAAAGGTTTTTAAAAAGATATTATGTTTTTGAGTTTATATATCAATCCTTTAACAAGTCAATTTGATTAACGTAGTCCTCGTGAGCATGTAGCTTTTCATTAAATCAACTAGTATAGTACGATTAAAATCGAAGTATAGACTTCATTTATCTGATCGCCATCGGAGAATTTAATTATGTGATATTCTATCCGACACTTCGACCTGCAATGTTTATTGTAGTCGTTCTGTCACATAAGGTCAACTCGACTTGCTTTCAAAAGTATCAAAAACGACGTAGTTATAAAGATTTACTTAACAAAAGCTTAACCTTAATCATTGCATCGGCAATTTAAATGTTTATAGCAGTCTATATTTCGATACGTTTGACTTCAAAAGGTTTAAGGAGACACCAAAAATTAGCATTTAAGTGGGTGTCAAGTTATCGCTCGATCTAACTAAAATCGTTGGTTACAAAAGAAACTGAAATTTAAATATTTGTCATCCCAATTATCAGTAAACCGTTAAATGAAACAAAAATGAAACCAAATACACATGTGAAGTTCTACGTTGCTAAACATTCCACTCAAAACAATTAAAATTATAAAGTCTTGTGATAAAAGTATTCTGAAAAAAGAATATCTAAGCTTGCACATCATTAAAAGAGACGTTTTATTCACTTTTCAAGCCATCATTTTATATGGATTCGAAATTCCTATTTTTGTTCTCTTGCCTTTTCCCCCCGTATACCACAAAAACTCAGGAATATTTGTTGTACGTTTTTGTGTATATGAGATTGTAGAAATAACTCTTTATAAATTTCGCGTGTCCGAAGCGTTTTTAATTTTTGAATTTATCTTGCTCAAACCAAAACATTTCAAAGCCAGTGACAAGTAACATGGAAAAAAGTAAAATAACAAAAATACCGAACTCCAAGGAAAATTCAAATCGCAAAGTCCCTTATCAAATGGCAAAATCAAAAGCTCTTACACATCAAACGAATGGAAAACAACTGTCATGTCCCTGACTTGGTAGAGGCATGTCCTTATATAGAAAATGGTGGATCAAACCTGGTTTTATAGCTAGATAAAACTCTCACTTGTATGACAGTCGCATAAAATTCCATTTTATTGACAACAATGAGTGAACAAAACAAACAAACATAATAGGTAAAAATGTCAAAAATAGGGGAACCGCTTCTCAAATGCAAGATAATAAAGGTTGAAACCTACTTCAATCAAGTTTACAACGAGAGGGCGTTTATTTAAGTGGGGCAAATTCTGTAAAGATCAAAAAGAAGGTCTAAAATTAATAAAGGAATAGTGTGAACTTAAATTGACTAGGAAAGTTAAACTGCTGGATAAAAAATACATGAATTAGAAGACTATACTTTCAAATTCTATAAAGTACAAATTAGCCTAAATGTGCAGAAAAAAATAAGATTTTATTCCAGTGTATTAAGCCAAATGATTAATCATCTTTGTTTTAAATTCTTAAAGATTTATAACTCTGAAGATATCTATCACATTGCCCCATACGTAGTCGTTTATAATACGGGTGATTACTTGAATTTAAAAAGAACCGGTGTCTTGCATATCATTGTGTAGTATCATGTGTTATGTGTTAATATTATGTTGTAACAAATGCCTCCCTAAACACTTGTAATTAGGTGTATGTTTCAAAACCCTATGTATATGGAACTAATTTCTTTTGAAATTTGCACAATGATAGTAAGCCAAATACTATTATCGTTTTTGTTAATTGAATAAACAATAATAAAAATATGAAAGTTAGACTATTTCATTTATTGTCTGAAATATTAGTCTTCAGTATAATGACCAACATTTTTAAATGACCGTGAAAAAATGTTGAAATTGTGTTTACTTCGCTTAAACTTATAACTTTAATGGGTTATTTTTGAAAATGTAGAATTATGACATATTTTATGTAACAGCACGAGTACTAAATCTGAGAACAAAATGAATAAAGATAATATTCCATGTGTCTCACATTTTTATAATTGGCCAAATGTAACTCGTTTTTAAAACACTCCAACATGAAGGAGGAAATAAATACAAAGGATTTACTAAATTTCAAGTCGATTTGGATAAGAAACTTTTTTTCTCTGTAGTGAATTGTGAACTTTTGTTTGTCTTATTTTATTTGACCCATGGTGTTGATAGACCACTTGATATCTTCTGCCTCTTTTTCCATTAAGGATAATTTTATAATTATTTTAATTTTTTGCGAGACTGCAACTACGAAGAGAAAAATCTCATTAACAGAAGATAGGAAAGTATGTCTCGACTTAAAATGCGTATAAGATCGTATAAGTATAACTTTAATGATATATCCAATTTCGAACTTCAATTAAAAGGAGATCAATCGGAATGGTTCTAACCTAAGTGCAAATTAAAACAAAAAAATGGGTCAATATCGATAGGCACAACAAGAAATAAAACGCATGGCATCATAATTGTCATGGAATTTTATGAGTCCATGGAATGCAGTCCATGCAAATAACACAAAAATGAAGATTAATAATTCAGACGCAGCCCCGGCCTGTAATTGTATGTACAACCTTTTATGTTATGGAACGGATGAACAATGAAAATTTTAAGGCCGTTAAGAACACAAAAGCTTCTTCAGAGGTCAAATGTACTAAAGCAATAAAATCGATAAGCAGTTGTTATTAATGCCATAATAATTTGAAAAAGAGTATGACAAAAATACCGAGCTCCAAGATAAATTCAAAAATAAGAAAGTCAATAAAAACTGACAAAATCAAACGTTATCAACCACCTGAATGAGTGAAAAACAAATATGGTGTGGTTATCGACCACCTGAATGAGTGAAAAACAAAATATGGTGTGGTTATCTTTACACCGTCGAGCAAATAAAAGGCTAAAGCTGATATTACCTTGCCAACAGCTTTTTTTTTGTGTTTCATATTCGTTCATAATGTTTTACAATACATTCAAAACAAAACAAAACCTTTATGGAATAAAAAACACACAAAATGTCAGATCAATCACCATGATTTTAGCCTAGAATAACATACATAGATCTCGCATTTAAACACGGAGGAATCTATTTTGTTATATTTTGCAAAACAAACATAAGAAATCAAAATCAGTTATTTCAATATTTTGAAATGTTCATCAAGATATTTATTAGCCTCATGTAACGAATCTATAAAAATGAAACAAATGAATAAAATAACTTACCTTAATCAACTCTTTGAAGTAATGGCCATACTGTAATATGAAATCTTCTCTCGCTGTCTTTATCAGCTGACAGTACTCTGATACTGACTGACTTTGACGCCTGCTCCAGAACACTTGACACAACTCTGTGGCCACTACTGCTTCTTCATTAGTCTGCAACGATGCAACAAACAAAACTATTTTTTTATTGCACAAAATAAAATTCAATTTAGAAAGTTGGTAATTGAAGTGTAACTTTTATTATTCAAACTTTCATTAGCTTAAAGAAAAACAAAGTACTCGGTACTAATAAAATACCGATAAAATATCATAGTTTGGCAACATGAAAGGAGTACTAATTTAACCTTGAGGTATGAAATATAAAAGGTTTAGTTTATAATCGCTTTATTATTTTTGCAACATAAGTTTATAACATCTTACAATGCTTGAATCCATAGTATTAAATTAAAAAAGGTGTTATTAAAGTTTTAATAAGAAACCAAAAGTTACCCTAAGGGAGACAATTCAAATACAATTTATGGAAAATCTTATTTCCTATAATCTATTACTATAGAAACACTTCCATTACTTTTATATCAGAGGAAGAAATAATAAGATAAAACATAAATTATCTGATAATTACATTTGTAGAATATGTATGTAATACATTTAAGCTAAGCACCTCTTTTACTTGATATAGAAGTCATATAATAATTACTTTTATATGATATACATTGACATATTTATGAATACGTACCAAATTAGGTGGAAGTGTACACTGCAATTTCTGTTCATCCAGTGAAATGCTTTTCTTTAGTTTCGATACCTTTACTGGTGAATTTGCATGTTGTAGTTTTTCTAAATCGACATCAGATGTGCTTTTCTTTAAAACCTTAGAATTAGTACAAGAGTCTGTTCCATTTGTTTTCTTCAGCACAGAATTATAAGGTTTTGATTGGTTGCTCTTTTGATCAGTAAACATTGGTGCATTAAGAGATGTAAATGCTTCATCGGCAGCTTGGTTTTGATTGTCAATTGTGGATGGTTGTATCCAGTATGTTTTTGTGTCGGTTGAGTCAGAGTGAATCATTGCTTTGGGTGTATCACAGTCACTGCTATTTTCTATCGTACTTTCAGTATCACTGCTGTCTAAAACAACTGGACACACTGCATTACCTTTTAAGCTTCCTTTGGGTTTATTTACCTTTTTATTTTTGGCACTGTTCAATAAGTTAGGTTTAGTGTCACTTAAAGCTTTGGACTTTTGATTATTATTTAATTTAGGATGGGCAGTAGGTGGCGGTTTCTTCCTTTTATTATTGTTTGGATTATCTTTGCGGGAGGAAGGAGCAGATAATAGTCTCTGTTTTGTATCTTGATTGGTCTCGGACGTATGCAATCTTCCCGAATCCCTCACATGTTGAAGTTGTTCTATGGTTCTGAGATGGTCGCCCAACAAGCATGCAATATCTTCTTTACTTATATTAACACCTTTCTTAACAAGTCGCTTAGCCAATTGCTTCTCGGAAGTTTGAAGAATCTGAAAAAAATTATCAGGATATTGCCAAAGTTCTGTTTTCATTTGGCGTTATGTAGTATAGATTGGATAAATTCGTCATTAAGTGAACTACCAAGTAAATCTATGAAATGGAACCCTTTGAAATAGAAAGTCTGCATTTAATACAGTGCATAGGCAATTAAACTGCAATGCGACTGAAATTTGCGCAAATGTAGAAAAATAAGTTCAAATATCAAACGTTTTTCTTCTTGTGGCTTTGGTTTAAAAAAAAAATGGCTCAGTCTTTAACAATTTCAAATATTAAAGGTCCCTTTGTTGGCCCGAAAAACGTACTGTTTGCACAACAATCCATATGGCTTGCTTTTTTAAAGAAGCAGATGCCTATTCTGTATATTTATCAAAGTTGGTGTGCAACAATTTGACGTTATTGGCATGTGTAAGGGAGCATTCTCATTTACATATAGACTATTCTGGTACAACTTTTGTTTTTAGCCTTAAATTATACTGTTACTACTACTGCATTACGGTCCGCTGTACGAATTTTTCATTATTTAGTTATGTTTTTCATCTTTATCACTAGACTTTCATTTTGTAAATGTGTGTATTGTATTTGTTAAATATAACAGTTGTACTCACCTCCTCATCTGATGAATGCAAATTTATCTGGACAGCCCAAGGGTTATCCGAAAACAAAGTTTTGGATTCCGACTGAAATTGATTTTAAGAAACACATTAGTGATGTCCCTGGTAAAAAGAAAACGAACTTTGAAGAATGTCCAGAAACCTCAAACAAATACAAATGCACTGTTTTATGCGCAAATTACGTCATGTTAATCTGCATCTTTAAATCCTTCTAAACAATGACTATATCCCGCTACATTGGATGACAGGGGTTTTGTTTTTGATACAGCATAAAATTTTAACAGAAATATTTCTTCATCGTAAGAATAATGTGAATGTACACTAAATAAAAACTGATTTTCAAATGGACCAGTCACATTCGTAAGCTTTCTTTGTCAATACAAACATATGAAATTTAATTGTATCTTACTATGTCTTTGAAAGAGTTATTGGTTTATAACAAATTGAACATAAGCATGGCAACCAAACAAAATGTATGTTAAAAATACTAAGATACAAAATATCAAACGAGAATAAATATTTATTTAGACTGCAACACAGCCATCATAAAACAAAGGAATAAAAGGTGCATATTGTATATCAGTGATATGATATCGATATTGAAGTGAAGTGTTTAAAGCATTAATAATAAGATATTGTTCATCAAAGAAAATTCGAATATCTGCATGTGCACTCAAAACAAAAAAAGTAAAATTACAATATGAAATTAAAAGGAAAACTGTAGAAAGAAAGTTTCGTATATGCTGTGTGTGGTAATGTAAACAAATTAATTAGAGAAACTAAAACCTGATATCATTGAACAATTTGTAACGAATGATATAGTATCGATATGCTGCATTGATAACACGTATAATTCGGAGTCTAATATTGGGATGAAAATCAGACTTGGAAATATAACAATTATTAGCTGAGTGGGCTATACAAAACAGCAAAAATATCAAACATCACTATTATTGCTATTCACAAAAGTAATGATTAGTTGTTTGCAAAATACAATATAAAACAACATATAATAAAAATCTAATCTACTAAACGAAATGGATTGAGCTTCATTGAACTGACCACGTGATCTACATACCCGTGAATTATTATTCAGCTCTAATCTGATATCCTTTAGATTCTAATGAAAATACACGAATAAATGAAATAAGTAACTGTTTATTGTCCAAATACTAAAATGATTGTCTCGCCCGCTAACACAGAACAATGAATTGGATAATCTTTTTTACAGTGAGTTTGAATGAGACTTAAATTTCTTAACTAAGACTTAGATCCATTATAAATGTTATTTTTATAAAGAAATAATATTGTGGGGAATTTTGCTGATTTTTGTTTTAATTAATTGAAATATGTTGCATTTGTTTTCCTGTGACAGCTTCAAAAAGTAAAATGAGAAACCAAGAGTGCGATCAAGTCTAAGAGAGACAATCAATATCATAGCCAACAGAAAAAAATGAGAACAAAATTAAGGAATCTCTAAACTCCAACTGAAAGGAACCTACATGGGTCGTCGACATGGTAATGCATCATCCGCCATGCTAATCTAGACAAAGTAAAACATGTAACGATAGGAAATAGGATTTAATCGGGGGAAAACATCAAATTACTAGTATTCTGATGTTTGCTTACTAGTATCTAAGACCGCAAAAGCATGTTTCTCGGGAACAGGAAGACAGACAGATCGTATCGTTCAACTTAGTTAATTCGAGAATGTGATAGTAAAACGTCATGAACGTGTACAGTGTCGGTTTCAGTTGGGTCTTCATCACCCCTGGAGAAGTTTGTATGGTATAAGCAAATCTCTGTTATTAAATTTTTATACTCCGTAGTGAATACATTAAATAAACACCATATGATGTGACAGAGGATATGTAACAACTGAGAAATGGAAAAATTAAATTAAAGTCGTAACGTTTGCCATAGATACCAGTTGACTGAAGTCGTTTATTTTATATAAATTGGTTACTAAAAAATAGGCGAAAAACACGAAAAGGAGAACCAATAGTCGTGAAAAAACGAAAAACGACGAAGACAAAAGACAGTCTGGAAAACACTACATAAAATATATAAAGACAGAGCAACACAACAACCGGTGTTAAGTCTCATTTTATGGTGTCATAACCGAGGAATAGAGGACGGGAAATGGCTACGACAATTGGAGCATGTCGAAGGTCATTCGTAACACATATAGTCTATAATAATCAATCAACTCGTTGTGGCGCCTGTAAAACTTCGGAAGCGAAGACTCCAACTTTACTCATAGGAATCATTGATTCAATAACGTCCTTGTAAGCAGCTACTCTCTTTCAAGGAAATCTTAATAGAAAACGCAAGCTCTAGAATATCTTATCAACTGAGAAATATACTCCATATGAAGGCGCTGCTGGAATGTTGCTACATAGAAATGAAATGTTCACAATGAAAGGTTGAAATCATCTCCTTTGTCGTAAATTTGTTTTTCCCAACCGACCCTCATAGTCGATTTCTAAGTGTGAGTCAAGATATGAGTGACTAGTCAGCCAAATGACATGTACAGAACAATTCTTTATAAACTACAAATAAATTAAGAAACACGAACACGACACGGTTAGCATCCCCGTCTATGCAAATCTCACCCACCATGCGAATTCACCTTCAGTCAATATGACACAATCGGAATAAGACACGATCGTTAAAATTACAGATTAGACGATTATTACGACATCTAACGATCTAAGACTGCGAAAACATATAGTGTCGATTTCAGTCACTCTCCCTGATAACTCTGCTTTTGTAAAAGGATGACACTCGTTCAAATGAATTCCGAATAGTGTGAACATGCACGAGCATAACGTATCAGTTGAGATATGTTAACGCCATTTATTCAGGCAGAGAGTATGGTACTGCTGAGAAATATAAAGTTGACGATTGGAAAGTTGAAATCGTCACGTTTGTCATAGATTCTAGTTTAAAGTCGTCCACCTTTGTCAATATCAAGGAAACGATCAAGATATGAAGCAGACTATCAAGTTCTCTTGGATATATGAGATGCAAGCATTCACTGAAATTTTGGGTATCGAGTGACAGCACATCTTCATTATATATGAAAATGAAATTAAAGAACTATGCAAGATTTTTTTTGTTTCTTTTTGTCTTTGACAAGGTTTAATGTGAATTTTATAATACGAGTACAGTAGGGGTGCACAAAAAGGACCTATTGGAACATAGAATTTGTGATGGAATATCAATCCACTAAGCTCATCAAATGTATTGTCGATCAACAAGTACGGACCTTCTCCATGTTAACTTTATAATAAAATTTCACGGCGGTCAGTTACATGTACTTATTACTTATATATGAATGTATATATAACGCTTCTAGATATCCATAACGTTTGAGTTGAGTTAACTTCATGTGAAATCATCAAATCAGAATATGTCTTGGCATATCGGTCAACTGAGATACCTATTTTTCAGAATCATTATTCGTTGTTTTACTTTTTATTTTGTGTTTTAATAAATTTGGATGTAATGCTGAAAATATGTACAGAACTGTTTGAAAATGTGATAGAATCAAAACAAACAGCAGTTGGATACTTTTACTATTCGAAAAAGTGAAATAAGTGACCACAAACATATTCAATGTGCATTTGTTCTTTGAAAATAGTTAATCCCAAATAATAGATCATGTCTATAAAGATAAAAAAAATATCTTACCGTGACTTCTATCCTGGGTGTTGAGTCGTTATTTATACAAGTGAAGACAAAAGCCACCAGCTGATTCCGTAGGTTCTTCATTATACCCTCATATTCTGACTGAGTAAGTCTTCCTTTTCGTCGTCTTTCACGGAGTGAATTCATAAACATCGTCACCAAGTCGTCCATTTTCTATAAAGTAACAGCTACTTGAAGATTTATTCAGATACTAAAGTAATAGATACAAACTGCAACAACCAATGAAAAACATGAAAATTATTGAAGGTGTGGGGGCTAACATTTTAAAATTTATCGACTGCAGACCGATTTTCAAATCACGTTTTCCGCGTTTGTCTAAATTATAAAACAGTTTCTAAATACTCCCTTGGTACCAGATCACTGAAATGTATGTCTGTGTTAAAACACTGAAAATATATACTCCTATTATATTATTTATCAGTCAAATCTATGGAACAACGCAGTAAAATGTATGGCTTATTTCTAGTTGATGATGTGAAACAATTCTATCTACACATTTTTGACAGATAATTTATTATTCATATAGTATAGGTAAAATCCTACAGAATGCAATTTCCCTGTTTTTAAAAATTAAAACATTCTCTTTGTAAAAAATGCATTGGGATGTAAATTTTCAACAATAAAAATCAATGTAAAATGACAATATGGTTTTTGTTTTTGTGCGTGGTGATATTGATTGTGGCTATTAGTAGGTAAATCGGTTTCAAATTGATATGTAATGATGTTTTTTTACTGTAGAACAAATATTTGTTTTTCATTATTTTAATGGAAGGTATTGTGATTTTTTGTCATGTGAGAAATAAACCCAGGAAACATACAATGGATATGATCATTAAAAATCATTTATTAGCAATTTGCTAAGTAAAAGCTTAACCGTTAGTAAATTCCAAATTTCCAAATAACTTAAATATTGACATATTGTACATCTATATGCTTTTTTTACCTATCAGAATTTCCGTTTGCATAACGCATGAATATAAATAGTTTAAATAATAATGCCCGGTGAAAAGTGCAGCACACCAACAGCAAAATACGGTGTAAAAATCGCGTATAATCTCTAAATCTTTTTTTCAAGCATTTTAGTCATTCAGATTTACCTATACACAGCAAAAATCACATTTAACATATATCATACCACACTAAAAACCAGAACACAAACATACACACATTCACACATTGGCATTATAAAGGTAAACACTTTTTTTAGTTGGCAAAGCTTGTCTCATTTCAATTATGTTAAATAAAAGTTAATATAGGCTCATAATACAGGTGTACAATCACGGATTGTCTATCTTTCCCCACAACTGAAAAATCTTCTACCAAAGCTGTTGATTAAAATGCAATGTTTACCTTCTGTGATATAATTCTAAAAAGCTGTGAACTATTTTATAAGCATTTGTTTCTATTGAAAAGAGAACAGCACATCGAAGTTGTTGAATTAAATTTCGGTACTGATGCCTCTGGTCGATAAATATTTTAACTGCAAAGGCACAGGCACTTGTCTCTGAAAAAAATGGATATATGCGAATTTTTCTCAGAGACCAGTGCCTGTGTCCAAAAGGTCAAAAATCAAAACTTTAAAAATCCAGAAAAAGTTATCGAAACTTCTTCGCTATTCTTTTGTTATTTAAATTATGAGGTTGCTGCATTACATTGCACAATAAAGATCTCCATTCACATTCTATGAAAATACTTGATAGTTCCCTATCCTCTAGTATTTATTTTTTGGCGTGTTTGAAACTTGAAAACTGTATAACTTGGTAAATGAATAACTCCATACCAACAGAAAACACCATTATGTCGATTTCTTGCAGAATTTATAAAAAACGTGCAGCTCTAACTATGAAATACATTTGTTATTAATATTACGTTATTCCTGAATTGCAGTGTTAAATTTCATTCATGGAGAACTTAGAAGATATTTATTTATTTTAGTATTCATTTAAAAGTCATCCATTTTTATGAAAATAATGGTGACCAACAAAACAGTATATATTTCTAACTTTTATAGAAATACAATAATCTAATTTCTCCATGCATGTGTTTATACATGATATGTGTGCACTAACCCTTTGCAGGTGAAAAGGCAAACTGTTAATAGGTTCATCCAATTCCGTGTTAGTAGGCGATATTAAGCCATCACTCGGCATTAGTAAGATGCTGGATATAGACATCTCGCTTGCTTTCTTCATGATATGTGCATCATAGCGTTGGTAACTGTCACTTACTATTCTGTAATAGTCCAGTCCGTTTTGCGATCGTGACGTTAGGGTTATAGATTCCGATTCATCACCCAAAGCGTCATCTTGGCTTACCCAGCCTTTTCTTTGTGACGACTTCCTAGACTGATCAATTGTTTCATCCGGAATAACCCACATTTCACCGTCACTGGATTCCCCGGACGAGCTATTAAGATCTCCAATCACCGTGGCGCCATTTGTGTCTTTGCCACTTTTTAACCTACTAACCTTAGTTCTTTTGTCTTGAAATTTGAGCTCTGATTTAATATTTTGTTTTGTGTCCCCATAGAAACTGTCCTCTCGTTCAATGTCCTGTTCGTTTTCATCTGACGAATTATTTCCAGTCTTACCATTTCTCAAAATTTTTACTAATTTGTCCTCTGCTAATACTATATCATCAGGCTTTTTGCGAGACGAGGATCGGGTACCGAGTCGACACGAGTGAGGCCGAGAAACTTTGGTAATTTCACACGGAAGGATGTCATCATCAGACGACTCGTCGTCGCCATCTGCATCTTCGTCGATTATATTATTTTCGCCATCTACGCTACTGAAGCCGGGGAGTCCGTGTGGAATCTCATTTTCTATACCAGAGTCACGTGACTCGCATGGATGTAACTTCCGAGGCGACGTTATGATATTGTCATTTACATCTTCTTGCTTTATGTTTTGGACGCTCGCAGAAACGACCACCACAGATCTTTTATTATTACAGAGTACACTAAAGCTTGTTCCCATATCACCAGGTATTACTATTGTTCTTGGTTAATTGTCGATGTAAGTTCAATGCCTCGTCTTGTTTCCATTGATGTATCATCTGCAACATAGTAAAATTTATTTTAATAGCGTCAAAATTTAACAAATATTTATTTGGTGCTGATGATTTAGGAGGCAGCGACTCATTTCACAAAAAATCATACGAGTGAAAATACTCGTAAGTCATGAACATTTCAGTATAACTTAGTAATACGATCAATTTTAGTCGAAAGATATTTTGTGAAAAGAGCCAAGTATCATCTTCAGTTTTTGGTGGGATTCGTGTTGCTCACTTTAGTATTCTATGTTGTGTTTTGTGTAGTGTTGTTTGTCTGTTGGTCTTTTTCGTTTTGAGCCATGGCGTTGTCAGTTTATATTCGAATTATGAGTTTGAATGTCCGTCTGGTATCTTTTGCCTCTTTTCTATTGTCTCTGTTAAATTGTCAGATTGATATATGTTGCAGACTCCTGTATTCTATTGAAAACTAAATGTTGCATTTAATTTAAGAAATTATATTCTTTTAGTTCAATATAAGAGCCAACCATAAAAATGTAAACTAAAGTTTGTAATTATATAAATGTGGTGACGTTATATGTTTCCATAATGCTCCTATAAATGCGATCATTGAGTTTATTCTAAAGTCCGTTGAATCTACTCTGGTTTAAATGACAAATCATCATATCGATGGAAAATGGACCATATTTCCCGATTAAGGGTACTTTTTAAATGCAATATAAATTAGGGGAAAAAAACTATAACAAAAGAATTAATAAATCAGAAATTGAAAGACTCTTCAAAATCAAAACCTTGGATGGTCACGATAAATTTAATTTATTATTGCCTCACTAACGGTTGTGAAATATAACTCTTTTTGACATTACAAATTGGCATATTTCACATCTACTTCAATTTCTGCAGACAAGTGCATTTTACGTTTAATTGAAATTTGTAGGTAAAAGAATATTTGCAAAATTATAATAATGACTTGCGATTTGACAATAATTATATAAATAGATATCTGCTGAACTGTAGCATTTGGTTTAACATTTATGATAATAAATTTTACTGTACATCTTGTTATGAGATTAAAAGGTTTTTTAAAAGTTTAGTTTTAGTGATATCAAAGTAAAAGGAATAAGTCAGAAGGTACATAAGACGGTATATCGCAAAAATTGCAAACCCCTTTCATATCTGGAGGTCACGACATCAAATTGTGAAGGTCAAGAAAAACAATTTATCCGCATGGCTGTAGTGTTAAAAACTTCTCAATTAAACATACGGAATTGGTTGCGTTCTTAAAACAATTGTTCCTGATAATACATACAAAGGAAACCATCGAGAGAAACATAATCATGACGTTTGGACAGTGATCGTTAGATGAAATTTTTGTAGAGTGGCGCAATCGTATACTTAATTTTTGGCGCAAGTGATACAGGGTAGTTTGAAAACTAGCGGCGCAAACCTAGCATTTGGCACACATGAGTTGTGGCGCAAACAGATTTCTCCCATATGAACAAGGGAATATTTCATTCGGATACTTTACTATTTGTTTTTATTACAGAGGAATCCCTCTTCTTTGCAAGTGCTTTATTTTGACTTATAAATATGGTCAAGTCTATATTTATTAATATGTTTGCTTTTGATTCCAAAATTCTATAATGATGTTTTAATCAATTACAATATTTAACTGTATGCATGTATTCATTCATAAGAGAAATGACGTTTGTATTTAAGAAAACGGAATTCATATACTTAACTTGAAATTGAGAAAGACGACTGAAATATTCTTACCTCAGATTTAGATTTTAACCGATTTATCAGTTATTATTTTCAAACGAACTTCGCGTCTTAATTGATTATAGTGAAACATTTGATTAAACATTATAACACACCTCATCTCCGACATGTACAATCGATTTTATTGCACTCAATTACAGACACAAAAACACTATGTCAACTTGAACTTTTTATATTTCCGTTTTATTAATTTGTGATTGATGAATTATTTACATTGGGAATGAAATTCGTTGAAAATGTTTCAACTATCAATAACACTCAAGTTTCTTCACTAATTTTCAGAAATTGATATATTTCTTTATTGTTTTTATCCCTAATGTAATGATCTTGAATTTTGTCAATGATCAAGTCAAGGTAAACTTTGGTTTTATGATTGATTTGTAAATTAGCTTGTCTTCCATGTCAGCGATGTTATGACGTTATACTAATTCAAAATGTAATGATTTATTTATTTTTTTTATTATATAAGGTTATTTCTTTAAGTGGAACATGAAAGCTTTTTAACTGTAATCTGGGTTTTTTTTTGTGGTTTTTTTTTCTCGTGGGTGTTCATAATGTGGTTAGTAAATCTTGCATTGCTTGTTCTCATTACACTGACTTGCATTAATATTTGTTATGTAAATACATTTATATACCCAAGCAAATGAAAAATGCTGGCACACTAATGCATGAAGAATTGCTGTTTCGTCAGTCCCATTAAAAATTATAGTTTATCCAAAATGACCCTAAAAGAATTTGTTAGTTGCTTAACGTCCACTGACCAGATGACAAACTATATCAAACTCAAGTTCAAATTATAACCCGATTGATTATTCGACTCAAGAATCGTGTTTAAGTCTAAACAAAAATATAACATTTTTACATTTGAATTAAAACGGCCATCTGTGCACAATCTGTCTGTTCTAAAGGTTGAGTGTGTAGTAAAGTCTATATGGGTTGCTAACTTTGTCAAAATTCATTTACTCAATTCCAGCTTATTATAATTTTGAACAAAAATGTCAAGATCTAAAACTGAAATTACTACAAATCCAAATAAAAGGCCAAAAAATAGACTAACAATTACTGACTGAACTCGTTGAATTACAAGTGACTACATATTTGACACCAATTTTACTGCACAAGATTTGACTTTCGACCATTGATGTTTCATGCTTCAGTGATACCCGAGGCCAACATATTTGAAAATCCAAAACCTAATACAAACTTCCAATAGCTAATATCAGCAAAACGGACCGAAAAGTGAAAGCCAAACCCTGACAAGGAATTAGAGCCATGCATGAGCCATTCCTTCATGAAAGGATTTTCTAAAACTCAAAACAGTAAATTAAAAAAAAACAATATTCGTATGTTCATGCCAGTAAAAGAGAAGCAAAAGATACCAAAGGTGCAAAGTCGAATACAAACTCACAACGCCATGTCAAAACACGAAAATACGACAAAAAGACAAAAAGTATACAAAACACAACATAGAAAACTAAAGACTTAGCAACACGTACCCCACCAGTAAAGAAGTCTGGAGATTTTATTGGGGACCAACAGTCCACCAGCAACGGTATCTAACCAGCGATAGTTATATCATTGATGGCACCCGTTTTACTGTATGTAGCCAATGTTAACATAAATATCTGATTATCAAAAAATGGTTTAAAATGAGAATTTTTCAAATCTTTTTAACATTTACAAATCGAAATTTGCAAAATAAAAAAGGGTGATATTTTTGTTGACGCAAGATGAACCTAGTTGTAAAGCATACAATAAAAACTGTTAGAATTATGTTCTTTGTACTTTTTTCATGACGTTATCCTAATGAAGGAGTTATCACTTTCTCCTTGTTCAAAACTCTATTTTAGGCCCTGTCTGTAATTTTAAATCAACAGTTTTGTGGTCTTTGTAAAGTACTAAACGTCAAACCTATCACTTCACATGAGCTCTCTTATCAGTAATTCATTTACCGAAATATTATTGAAAACTAAAAGAAGTCAACAACCTGTTTTTATATTACTGGTAACGACAACATTCTTTGAATACAAAAATATCTTATCTTTCCACAATATAGAAAATATTTGACCCGTTGTTCAGAAAGAACACCATTTTGCAAATTTATTAAACAGAATGAAAGAATGCTCCGGATGTTGTCTAAATATGCATTGATATTTCCTCGGAGACAAATTATTCCATCAATATATTACAGTCGCGTACGATCAATTGGGTCTGTCACGTTTTAATCGGTGCAGTAGTGCTCTTTTGTTCTGTAACCCACCATTTTAACCGTTCAGATAACCCGGACTGGAATATTGCCAGACTATTATTGAATGTTTCTGGTATTTAATCCTCAAGTTAAATCTCATAATGTAAATTCAAAGATCTGCGCGTTTATAAAAATTAGCATACGGAAACTAAATATGAAGTCTGATCTGAAGGATTAAATAATGGATACGGGTTTAGTCAGAAATATCTATAGTCGGAATCAATTAAATATATCGTGTTTCTCTATTTGACACAGATCATAGCATTTGCTACAAAACCTCAAAAGCTCATTCATAATACAATTTGTATATTACACAGATAAGAAACTTGCTTCTTTTAATCGAGTTTTTAATCATTTCGGACACCTAGGCTACATGTAGAAGAATGCGCTTGCTAAAATAAGCACGTGAATTGACTTTCAGTGAAATTGTTTGTAACTTATTTAATGTGAAGCGTGTTATTTCATCCTCTCTTTTTCCCCTCTTTCCCTCTTTAGTAAAAATTCTTAAAAAGAAAAAAGTCATATGCAAAAGCATTACATACTTGTTGTAATATTACATATGACCAAAAGGTTCTTTTGTAATGGACACGGACAAATGCGGAGGAATTTAATCGGACAATCAAGTTCTATCAAAGTATGCATGATAGTTAAGATAAGCAACTGTAAAAGAAACTCATTTTGAAATTTTTAATGATTAGGAAAATCAGAAGAAAAAATAAAATTCATCTGTTAGTATATTCGTCATGTTGATTTATATTTATTTTTATTTCAATAAAGATTTGTCACACAGTGGTTCATGTATGATTTATCACAAATATGCTGTGTTAAATGTCGGCTTATTAAATTTGTTTAATACTTGTATCACAAAACCCAGTAGCCATGTACTTCTAGACTGTCATGGAAACATGGAAATTGCTTTATTGAAATTTCTGTAATGAAACTAGGAAGTCATTTGAAATTTTAACAAGAATGTGTCCATAGTACACAGATACCCCACCCGCACTATCATTTTCTA